AAGGCACGTCTCTAAGGCAGAGAGAGAGAGAGAGAGAGAGAGAATGAGAGACTGATATGCACAGAGAAGAAGGTAAGCAGAAAGAAGGGAAAGAGAGAGAAAGAGGAGAGAGAGAAGCTCTACTGATTGTGTGTATGTGCTCAGGAGCCTCAACTGCTTCTCAATTGTCAATCAACTGGTGTACAAATTCCTGAGCCTACTGGGCTCTATCATATCTACATTTGAAACTGTGTATGGAGTCGGCCTCCACCACATCACTGCCTAATGCATTCCATTTACTAACTACTCTGACATTGAAAAGTTCTTTCTAATATCTATGTGCCTCATTTGGGCACTCAGCTTCCACCTGTGTCCCCTTGTGCGTGTACCACCCGTGTTAAATAATCCTTGTCTATCCTGTCAAATCCCGAGAATTTTGCATGTGGTGATCATGTCTCTCTGAACCCCTCGTTCTTCCAGCGACGTGAGGTGCAATTAACGCAGCCTTTCCTCATAACTCATACCTCTTAGTGCTGGCACTAGTCTACGCCTTATAGCGTGTGCGCATATTTTGCTTGAAACACAATTCGCCCCACGAGTGAAACTGATTTACGAAGAATCAAAACCTTTTCTCGTCAACATATCTTAAAACATAGGACACACAGGATGGGTTTTAACATGCAGGTGTATCGATACGCTGTTATGCAGATCACCAGACTTAAAACTTTGGCGTGGTGTATGCAAATTAGGTCGAACTATGGCATAGTTGGCAGCGGAACGGGGCTCGTGCAGCGATGCCTCACAGATTATACAACTTTGAGACGATTTTTCTAGTTCATCGAAATGAAATAATGAAATATTTCATATATATAATGTATTATAATATATTATAATATTATAATATATATAATATAATATAATATATGTCTGGATATAATCTCATACAACCGCCATTTTCTGGTATATACTGTGTCCTATTTAAAATATATTTTATAATTAAATAGTTATTACATTATTATAAATGAAATATGTTTATAATGTAATATTTTTTCTGCTAATAAGTAGGGAATTATGTCCAATACATACATACATATGAAAGGATTCTCTGCCAGGCTGGGGGCTAAGCAATTGGGGCTTAATCTCATCAAACTTTGCAGCGTGACGGGGACGGTGTTGGGGTATGGTCATAGGGAGGTCGGGATCGACCCCCCAATGATGTAACTTCGAACCTCGCCAAACACCAAATTCCATCCTCCTTTCTAGCATATTTGATAAGTGATACAGTATACACATGCACGGTATACCATTAAACTAGTGCCAGAACTAAGAGGCATGAGTTACGAGGAAAGGCTGCGTGAACTGCACCTCACATCACTGGAAGACAGAGGAGTTCGGGAAGACATGATCACCATATACAAAATTCTTAGGGGAATTGACAGGATGGACAAGGATGGATTATTTAACACGGGTGGTACATGCACAAGGGAACACAGTTGGAGACCGAGTACCCAAATGAGCCACAGAGACATTAGAAAGAACGTTTTCAGTGTCAGAGTAGTTAACAAATGGAATGCACTAGGAAGTGATGTGGTGGAGGCTGACTCCATACACAGTTTCAGGTGTAGATATGATAGAGCCCAGTAGGCTCAGGATCCTGTACACCAGTTGATTGACAGTTGAGAGGCGGGAACAAAGAGCCAGAGCTCAACACCCGCAAGTACAACTAGGTGAGTGTACACACACACACATACACACACATACACACACACACACACACACACACACACACACACACACACACACACACACACACACACACACAGGGGGCCGTGCGGCTGAATGGACAGCGCTTCGGGGTCGTAATCCTAATGGTTCGATTCCCGGCAAAGGCGGAAACAAATGAGCAGAGTGTCTTTCACTCTGGTGCTCCTACGGGCTGCTTCCTGGGAATGTGTTGTGTGTGTGTGTGTTAGAGAGAAATATATGTTGTAGATATAATTGCAGAAAAATTGATTGGTTAAAAAGCGGGGGGTCCAAGAGCTAATAGCTCGATTCTGCAGACACAAATAGTAAATACAAATACTAAACACACACACACACACACACACACACACAACACACACACACACACACACACACACACACACACACACACACACACACACACATTAGGATCCTGTGGTCCAGTGGTCTAAGTCGCCGACTTTCGATCAATGATCACATGTTCAATTCCCACGGCAGTACAGAAGCGTTTGGTTAACAATTCCCTTCATCTGATGCCACTATTTACCTAGCAAAAAAAAAAAAACATAGGCATTTGGGAGTCAGACACCTATTGTGGGCTATATCCTTGCGATATGTATATGTGTATGTAAAACATAGTACATATGATAGAGAGAAAGAGATCCAGAGCCATTGTATACAACCAGCAGTTGGAAAGGCGGGGTCCAAGAGCTAACAGTTCGATCCTGCAGGCACCAATTAGTGAATACACATAGGTGAACACAACACACTTTTACAGGTGAGAGTGAGGAAAGGGGGGGAGGTTGGAGATAGAAGATGGAGAGGTGCATGGGGAAGGAAACAGTTGAAAAATGTGGAAAATAGAGCTATGATAGCAGGCGGGCTGTCCGCCTTGCTGACACAATGTATGAGTTATGATAGCAAGCTGGGGCTGTCCGCCTTGCTGACACGATGTGTGAGTTATGATAGCAGGCAGGGGCTGTCCGCCTTGCTGACACGATGTGTGAGTTATGATAGCAAGCAGGGGCTGTCCGCCTTGCTGACACGATATGAGAGTTATGATAGCAGGCACAAATAATTTCCAACAAAGCCTAACCACCCAACCTAACCTGGGCCTAGCTATACACCGAAATTCTAACTGATATCAACATGAATTTATATTGATATAAAATGTCGATTTCGAATACAAAGTAGTATATTAAAATGTATAAATAAGTCTGAGGTCGTGCGCGTCTTGAACGAGCATAGCCCCATGTATAATATGCGTATTTCATACATAGACAGGAGGTATACTCACTATATTAACAAACAAATGATCATTGTTAATAAGGACGGGCTGATCACCAGTATAAATATACCACAAACAAAGCATTGTTAAGGGAGATATAATAACCCCATTTCTCGGTATATATAATACACTGAAAGTATACTTTTGCTCAGAACAATATATTCAGGACTAAAGTATACTTGCTAGATAATCAGTATAAGCTATTGTGGTGGTCTTAATATATAATCCTCAATGCTGTTTAATAAGCCTCAAGCGCAATAATTACCAATTGACTCGTTTGAACCCAATGACTTCAACTACTGTTACCCTTAGTTTACCTCTGAACTCTACATTACCTCAAAAGTAGAGTTTACTGAAATAGTTTACTTAATCTATGCCCACGCTCGTGTCCAAATGAATACCATATAATAATCATTTAAAAATACCCGCTACTTGAATGCCCTGTTGTGTCATTGAAATTAATATCTGCATACATAAATAGCCATAATATAATTAGCCAAACGATAAACGCCAATTATATGCATTATATAATTAAAGTTAATGGAGATATGCAGTTCTACACGATAATAGGCACATATTTGGACTTAATAAATCGATAAGCGCACATATATATATATATATATATATATATATATATATATATATATATATATATATATATATATATATATATATATATATATATAAACAACGATCACAAAAACACTGAACCAAGTATGCGAAAAATCCACATTTGAAGAATTAGAGAATGAACGCGTTTTCGGCTCAATTCGCCTTCATCAGAGCAAGATTGAGAGTGTATCTCTATCTTGCAAGATAGTCTCTCTATATTGCAAGCTAGAGATAAAATATAAATATATATCTTGCAAGATACTGATAGGCAGATAGACATGATATAAGATATCTACCTGATATAAGATATCAGGTAGAGACCACAGAACCAGATTGACCCAACAGATAGAAAGACATAGGTAGATCACCACAGCAGTCTACCCTAGGTAGATAGGTAGACTTACGCAACAGTTAGGCAGGATAACACCTTTTACATTTATAAATACATATATACACACACACACACACACAATGAACATTAATTTTGGAGTTAAATTTTCAACTTCCTTCCCAAGTGAAAAAGAAAAAAAAAGACGTTAAACATAGGTTAAAAAAAAATGATATACCTAGTTCATAAAAAAACTAGGCCTAGGTAATAAATTCGACAAACCCAGGTCAAATCACGATAGGCCTAGTTAAATAACAATCATAAACATGCTAAGTTATCGCATATAAATACTTTACATAGTCACCTTGAGAGGGCGATAGTAATGGGTGGTACTTACGACTCTGGCTTACAGTGCTCGTAATAATAATAATAATTATATATATATATATATATATATATATATATATATATATATATATATATATATATATATATATATATATATATATATATATATATATATGTCGTACCTAGTAGCCAGAACGCACTTCTCGGCCTACTATGCAAGGCCCGATTTGCCTAATAAGCCAAGTTTTCCTGAATTAATATATTTTCAATAATTTTTTTCTTATGAAATGATAAAGCTACCCATTTCATTATGTATGAGGTCAAATTTTTTTTATGGGAGTTAAAATTAACGTAGATATATGACCGAACCTAACCAACCCTACCTAACCTAACCTATCTTTATAGGTTAGGTTGGGGTAGGTAGCCAAAAAAGTTAGGTTAGGTAGTCGAAAAACAATTCACGAAAACTTGGCTTATTAGGCAAATCGGGCCTTGCATAGTAGGCTGAGAAGTGCGTTCTGGCTACTAGGTACGATATTATATATATATATATATATATATATATATATATATATATATATATATATATATATATATATATATATATATGAGTGGATCAGTAATTGTATAATTCATCACTACAGGAGCCCTGTGGTACATGTTAAAAAGGACTTGACAGGCATTATACAGCGGTCAACTTACCATTTAGGGGGAATCCCAGTGGTGGCCAAGGAATAGTTGAAAGTTGTGTAATTCCTCCAAATTTCCTTCGAGCACAACCACCGTCGAGGACGACCTCTGCAGGAGACGGCCTTTGTCGAGGACGACCTTTCCAGGAGTCTTTGTCGAGGACGACCTTTCCAGGAGACGGCCTTTGTCGAGGACGACCTTTCCAGGAGACGGCCTTTGTCGAGGACGACCTTTCCAGGAGACGGCCTTTGTCGAGGACGACCTCTCCAGGAGACAGCCTTTGTCGAGGACGACCTTTCCAGGAGACGGCCTTTGTCGAGGACGACCTTTCCAGGAGACAGCCTTTGTCGAGGACGACCTCTCCAGGAGACAGCCTTTGTCGAGGACGACCTTTCCAGGAGACGACCTTTGTCGAGGACGACCTCTCCAGAAGGCAACTATTTTTCTGAGAACGACTTCTTCTGAGGATATTTTTCGAGGACGACCTTTCCACTTTATTACTACGGAATATAACTCTTAAGTTTTCCTTTTAGTTTAGATCTTCAACTTACACAAATCCCAAGTTTTATATACACGATAATTATATTGAAATCTGCAATGTATTTCTCACTGCGTTTTTTGAGCCGTTGTTCCATTAGACTATTCGTATCTATAGGATCTTTGACAAACAGATTGTCACTAAAAGTCGAAATTATACAAACGTTTATATACGTCTATTATACGTTTCTAACTTTCTTCGTCTTTTCTCAGACGTTGAATATTTCTGTCTTATTGACGTTGTCAATCACCGAGCTAGTGGAGTTTTTTATACACCTTTCATAATTGTATACTTCACTTATACGTAATAATAAGTTTAACAAACGGCTGGTTTACCATTAAACACGAACCAAATATCAATCAAATAAAACTGGTTTCATTCTATTTATTAATCTTTTAAAGACGAGTGATAAAAGGGATGGATAGATCAAGTACGTGAATGGAGCGGAATCGTGTACAACTCCCCCGTCCGGATGCCGCAGCCATACTGAGCCAGCACTAGCGCTGGACGGGCAAGAGGATCCAGCGTGGCCCGTCTCCACCAATAACACACTTCTTCCTATTGTTACCATAACACAAAACATCATATTACCCTTTGCACTAACTCCCTGTCATTTCCCCCTTCGACACTGTTATTCTAAATTACTTTAGACATGCGTCAGATAACCTAGAAATGGATGGAACCAAATATATGCTTGCATTGTTGCTCGTGCGCCCTTGGTGAGTCAGGCAAGATTAGTTACTTCGTGATTGGCAATTGTGCTAAAAACCTGAAAGCTGAGTTGCCAGCTGTCGCTGTGAGGGCCTGACCTTATCTGTTTGGGAGAAGTTGCCAGTCTGGTCAGTTCTATGTACTGATTGGTAATATGCTGTTGCCTGTGGCTTCCTCCCTATGGGAGTATGCTGTTGCTTAATGGCTTCCTTTCTATTTGAGTATGCTGTTGCCTCCTCCCTATATGAGTATGCTGTTGCCTGTGGCTTCCTTCCTATGGGAGTATGCTGTTGCGTAATGGCTTTCTTCCTATATGAGTATGCTGTTGCCTGTGGCTTCCTCCCTATGGGAGTATGCTGTTGCCTGTGGCTTCCTCCCTATGGGAGTATGCTGCTGCTTAATGCTTTCCTTCCTATATGAGTATGCTGCTGTTTAATGTGGTTTCCTTCCTATATTAGTATGCTGTTGCTTAATGGCTTCCTTTCTATAAAATATGCTGCTACTCGTAGCTGCCGTCTTAGGTCTTAGGTACCAGATGAATAAGGTCAATTACACCTTCTTAATTACATGTTCCGAGGTCAAATTATATTATTGATATGCGTCAAGTTTGAAGGTTTTTGCTTTACCAGAAACTTTTGAAGTTGGGTTGTCACAGTGCTGACCGTGAACACACTATTTGTTACGTGTCTGTTGCTCATTTTGGTGCTCCTCTCGATGGTGTTCCTTTCATTAAGTCTTTATCTCTCTGTTCTGCCTATTTTAACGAGGATCTTGTATGGTGTAATCATGTCTCCCCTGTTTTCTTTCTCGTCCAGTGACCTGAGAGTTTTCATTTCTGGTGTCTTTAGTCATAACACAATCGTCTTAGTACTTGGATTAGATTCTCTTGAGATCTTGAGATGATTTCGGGGCTTTTAGTGTCCCCGCGGCCCGGTCCTCGACCAGGCCTCCACCACTTTAGTGGTGGAGGCCACTAGGGTGGAGGGAAGGCCACTAGGTGGAGGGGAGGCCACTGGGTGGCCACTAGGTGGAGGGGAGGTAGTAGATTAGTGGAACTTCTGACCTCTCTCCATGCTCACTTACGAGAGAAGGACTCGAGTCCCATTTTGTCCAACCCTCCCCCTTGCAGTTTTATAAATATCGGAAATATACAAAATCTGAATCATGAGCGTTATTTGTGAGCCAAATTCTGGCTCATTGCACAAATTTGGAGTTTGTAAATACGAATTTTTAAACCGAAAATAGGCCAAATAGTGAAATCGGCGATGGGTCACATTTTGCCCAAACCCACCTACAGTTTTGAAATTATCGGAAATATCTGAAATCTGACTCATGAGCGTTATTTTTGAGCTGAATTCTAGCTCACTGCACATAATTGGAGTTGCAAATTACGACTTGTTATACAGAAAATATGGCAAATTAATGAAAACGGTGATAGTCAAATTTTACCCCCCCCCCCCCCTGCAGTTTTCAAAATATCTTTTTTGCTTGGCGGGAAACGCTGGCTGGTGGCACTGGCACTGCAGCAGAAAATTCGTGTTAATTTCGCCTGCACCCAACACTGCATGGCTTAACTGCTGCCCAGGAAGAATTAAGTGCATGGAGACTTAATATGCCATAACTCAAAGCGAACCTCAACAATAATCAACCACAATTAACCAATTTTCATTGTGCCTGCCTATCGACGACCCTGCTACCAAACGTACACTATACGCCTAACCCCACTACCGTTCTCTAAGTATCTACCTCTGGAAACATTACCAAGAATCTATTGCCGGAAACATGCCCGAGCACAGCAACAAGCAAGGTAGGGGGTGCCTCTTGCTCTTTACCTATACCTATAACGCCAAGAGACCTGAGTGAAACACAGGCAACCCTGCAATCCTCACCGATGTTGGTAAACACAGAAACACAAAACGCTTCCCTCCCTCTCTCTCTGCCAGCCCCCGGCTACTACTCAACTCAAAACTCAAGCTGTAGAATTCATTCAATCTATGCCTCCCTGTACAAACTTCAAACCATAGAGGAGCAACCCATTGAGGCTGCAGAAACTACTAGTGCTCCTGCAGTCTGAAGCAATTTCGGCCCTCCAAGCTACGGTCTCCCATCCACAACTATAGACAGCTTCTTTGAGTCGTCGACGAATAACCCTCAAGAAATTCTCAACCTACAAGCTGTTGCAGATGACGTAATGGATCAAATACACAAGATTAAGGCCGAGGAAACCCAACCAGCACAAAGCGACTTCCTTCAAAAGCTGGAAAAAACATATAAATCTCTTTCAGATTCACCAGGCGGCTTCCGAAGACGACCTAGAGTAACAACAACTTCATCACTCCCTGATAATTAGCTCTGCTGATCTACCTGATGAACAACAAAGTGAGAACTGTTGTAACGTAGCCCACGCTCTAATGAATTCAAAGATCAGAGTCAACGTTGATATCAAATTAGCTCTCAGGATAGATAAAAACAGTTCCCGTAACTTTAGGAGAATGCTCATCAAACTTGCAAATCCCTCTGTTAAGTTTGACCTCATGCAATCAGCTGCTAAGCAAAAAAAAAAAAAAAAAAAAAAAAAAACAACCTCTATATCAATGAGTGCTTTACAAAGCAGCGTGGATCCCTCCTCTTCAGGCTGCTTCAAATTCGCAAACAAAACCCTGGTCTTATCAAGCAGTGCTTCACTAGGAATGGAACGATCATTGTAAAGAAGGAAAGTGCAGGAAAAAGATATGAAATAAAGTGTGACCAACAACTACTGGCCTTCTTTAACTGGAAATCTTAATTCAATAATACACAGGGTATTTTGAAATATATTTCAACAGGATATATTTCAGATATTTTGAAAACTGCACGGGGGTTTGGGCAAAATATGACAATTGCCGTTTTCAGTAATTGGCATGTTTTCGGTATAAAAAGTCGTAATTTGAAAATGAAAATAGGTGCAGAGAGCCAGAATTCGGCTAAAAAATCACGCTCAGGAGTCAAATTTCCGACATTTCAGATATTTTGAAAACTGGTGGGGGGTTTGGGCAAAATATAACCCATCGCCGTTTTCCGTAATTGGCATATTTTCGGTATAAAACGTCGTAATTTGAAAATGAAAATAGGTGCAGAGAGCCAGAATTCGGCTCAAACATCACGCTCAGGAGTCAAAAATCCGACTTTTCAGACATTTTGAAAACTGCAGGGGGGTTTGGGCAAAATATGACCCATCGATGTTTTCAGTAATTAGCATATTTTCGGTACATAAATTCGTAACTTGAAAATTAAAATAGATGCAGAGAGTCAGAATTTGGCTAAAAAATAATGCTCAGGAAACAAATTTCCGACATTTCAAATATTTTAAAAACTGCAGGGGGGTTTGGGCAAAATATGACCCATCGACGTTTTCAGTAATTGGCATATTTTCGGTATAAAAAGCCCTAATTTGAAAATTAAAATAGGTGCAGAGAGTCAGAATTCGGCTCAAAAATCTTGCTCAGGAGTCAAATTTCCGACATTTCAGATATTTTGAAAACTGCAGGGGGGTTTGGGCAAAATATGACCCATCGACGTTTTCCGTAATTGGCATATTTTCGGTATAAAAAGTTCGTAATTTGAAAATGAAAATAGGTGCAGAGAGTCAGAATTCGGCTCAAAAATCCCACTGACAATTAAAATCATAACAATTGGGTTCTGTGACACAGAATGATAGGAGGGAGCTGGTCCGCCGAGCGGACAGCACGCTGGACTTGTGATCCTGTGGTCCCGGGTTCGATCCCGGCCGCCGGCGAGAAACAATGGGCAGAGATTCTTTCACCCTATGCCCCCCTGTTACTTAGCAGTAAAATAGGTACCTGGGTGTTAGTCAGCTGTCACGGGCTGCTTCCTGAGGGTGGAGGCCTGGTCGAGGCCGCGGGGACACTAAAAGCCCCGAAATCATCAAGATAACCTCAAGATAACAGGCGTCAATGGTGTGGTTAGTGTTGAACAACTGCAAGATGATCAAACTTTCCTTGCAAGACAAAAACAAAAAATAAAATATACTCTGCGATTTACAGACTTACAGAAGATTTGTCATTATTTCGCTTAAAGGGTATAGGCTTATCCACCCTCAGTTTCTACATTGAAATTGGCTCTCAACCCATAGTTGAAAGTAAATAATAAATTGAGGTAACTCACAGTAAATCAGTAAGAACAACGCAATTCAAGTACAGACTGAACTACCCTATTCCAGACAACAGCTGCTTAATAACTACCCCCTGACACCATTTATAAACTTCGCTCTTTGCATTCAAGGGTCCAAAAACCAACTAATATTCTCACACGTCACATACAGCATGACACAGAATGATCAGCATTACCTCGAACCTCTCCCTCCCATTCGTCTCTTCCAGTATAAACCGTTCGTCCACTTAAGGGATTGTCATATATAGCCGTTTTCTTCACAAAGGTAAAAAAAATAAAACTGCATCCGTACAGATATTCTAGAGTCCTAGACTATATTAACTATAGTCTAGGACTATATACAGCTCACCACATAGCTTTTATATGATACAAATCTAATGCTATGTGATGCAAATGTGATGCTGTGTGTTGCAAATGTGATGCAATCTTGCAAGATGGCTCGTCATTCTAGGTCATGCGACCAGTAGCCTACAATGGCATGTTTTCGAGGGAGGACTCAAGAACACGAGTTTTAATAAAGAAATTGTCAAAATTCCAAGTACCTAGTACTTGCAAACCTGAAAGGTCTTATGTCTAAGGAACTGCCTCTCAATCTTCGTAATAC